TTTTTCAGAAAAAAAACAAAAAAGGCTTCAGGAAAAAAACGGGAAAAAACTGTTTTTCCCCCTAAGTTTTCCGAGCCTTCACGTCTCTACTTTAGAGGCAGTCAGCCTCTGAAACCCAGTGCCAGGAGGCAACATCAGGGGAAGGCCTCGGCCTTTGTTTCCTGTTGTTGGCTGTTCAGAGGAACTGCTTGGCCACTGTGTGAGACAGGAGGCTGGGCTGGATGAACCACTGGTCTGATTCAGCAGGGCTCTTCTGATGTTTTTATAGTGCTACAATAAGATTTACCTATTGAACCTCCACATTCAGAGGCAGTCTACCTCTGAATCCCAGTGCCAGGAGGCTATATCAGGGGAAGGCCTTAGCCTCCATGCCCTGTTGTTGGTCTTCCAGAGGAATAGATTGACAATTGTGTGAGACAGGATGCTGAACTAGATGGACCGCTGGTCTCATCCAGCAGGGCTTTTCTTATGCCCTGTTTTTGGCCATCCAGAGGAACTGTGTGAGACAGGATGCTGGACTAGATAGACTATTGGTCTGATCCAGCAGGGCTCTTCTTACATTCTTAACATTAGGGGAAGGCCTCGGCCTCCCTGCCCTGTTGTTGGCCCTCCGGAGGAACTGATTGCCCGCTGTGTGAGACAAGATACTGGACTAGATGGGCCCTCACTGGTCTGATCCAGCAGGGCTCTTCTTACATTCTTAACATAAGGGGAAGGCCTCGGCCTCCCTGCCCTGCTGTTGGCCCTCCAGAGGAACTGCTTGCCCGCTGTGTGAGACAAGATGCTGGACTAGATGGACCATTGGTCTGATCCAGCAGGGCTCCTCTTACATTCTTAACATCAGGGGAAGGCCTTGGTCTCTTTGCCCTGATGTTGGCTAACTAGAGGAACTGGGTGGCCACTGTGTGAGACACAATGCCAGGCCGGAAAGACCACTGGTCTGATCTGGCAGGCCTTCTCTGAGGTTCTTACACCCGTGTCTTTCTCTGTGGCAGGTAGAGCGCCTCCGGCAGGCCATCGAGGAGCTGTACTACTTTGAATTTGTGGTGGACGACCTGCCCCTCCGCGGCTTCGTGGGCTACATGGAGGAGAGCGGGTTTCTGCCCCACAGCCACAAGATCGGGCTCTGGACCCACCTGGACTTCCACCTGGAGTGGAACGGGGACCGCGTCATCTACGCCAACGTCAGCGTGCGCGACGTCAAGCCCGCCAGCCTGGACGACGTCCGGGGCCCCGACCCGCTCTCCATCACCCACACCTACAGCGTCCGCTGGTCCGAGACCGCCTCGGAGCGGCGGGGGGAGCG